GATGCGGTGATCAGAAAACACTTCTATACTGCTGTTGGGAATGTAAGCTAGTATAGCTACTATGGAAAAAAGTGTGAAGATTCCTTAAAGAACTAAAAGTAAAACCACAAGTTTATCTAGCAATCCCACTACTGGGGTATCTACCCAGAGGAAAAGAAGTCAATATTTGAAAAGAATACTTGCACACACATGTTTATAGTGGCACAATTCACAATATCAGAATTGTGGAATCAACGCCAATGCCCATCAATCAACAGTTGGATAAAAAAAACTGTGTGTGTGTGTGTGTGTGTGTGTGTGTGTGTGTGTGTGTGTGTGTGTGTGTGTATACATACACATATATCTCCACACAGTGGAATACTATGCAGCCACAAAAAGGAATGAATTATGAGAATTTGCAGTGACCTGGATGAGAGTGGATACCATTATTTTAAGTAAAGCAACTCAGGAATAGGAAACCAAACACCATATGTTCTCACTGATATGTGGAAGCTAAGGTATGATGACACAAAAGCATAATAATAATATGATAGATCTTGGGTACTTGAGGGGAAGAGTTGGAGGGCAGTGAAAGGTAACAGACTACAAATATAATGCAGTGTATACTGATCAGGTGATGGGTGCACCAAAATCTCACAAATCACCAATAAAGAACTTACTCATGTAACAAAATATCACCTGTACCCCAATAACTTATGGGGAAACATTACACTGAATTAACAAGTTCAAAAAAACATAAAAATAAAATAAGATTTTAGTACAGAGGAAAAAAGATATACAAACATCAAACATTTGAAAAAAATTTCAACATGACTAATCATCAGGGAAATGCAAATTAAAACCACAATGAGGTACCAACATACTCCTGCAAGAATGGTCATAAATAAAACATCTAAAAAGAATATATGTTGATGTGAATACATGTGGTAAAAATGAAATGCGTTTACACTGCTGGTGGAATGTAAACTATGACAACCACTATGGAAAACAATATGGAGATTCCTTCAGGAGCTGAAAGAAGAACTATCTTTCAATCCAGCAATTCCACTACTGAGTATCTACCCAAAGGAAAAGAAGGCATTATATGAAAAAGACAAATGCACACACATGTTTACAGTGGCACAATGCACAATTACAAAAATATGGAACCTACCGAAATGCCCATCGACTGATGCTTGGGAAGAAACTGTGGTAAATATGCACCATGGAATACTACTTGGCCAAAAAGCAGAATGAATTAATGGCCATTGCAGCAACTTGGCTGCAACTGGAGGTCATTATTCTAAGTGAGGCAACTCAGGAATGGAAAATCTAATACTGTATGTACTCATTCATAAGTGGGAGCTAAACCATGAAGATGCAGAGGTATTAAAATAATATAATAAACTTTGGGGACTCAAGGGAAGGGTGAGAGGGTTGAGGGATAAAAGGCAACATATTGGGTACAGTGTACACTGCTCGGGTGATGGGTGTCACCAAAGTCTCAAAAATCACCACCAAAAAAATGTATCCATGTAGCCAAAAACCATCTGTACTAAAAAAAAATTGAAACAAAAATATGTAAAAATGTTAGAATACAAATTATTATACGGTAAAGACACATGCACATGAGTATTCATCGTAGCACTCTTCACAATACCAAAGACATGGAATCAAACTAAACGTCCCTCAATGACAGACTGAATACAGAAAATGTGACACATATACACCACGGAATATTACGCAACCATAAAAAAACAAGGTCGAGGGAGCATAGATGGAGCTAGAGGCCATGATCCTTAGCAAACTAATGCAGGACCAGAAAAAAAGTGCTGCATGTTCTCACTTATAAGTGGGAGCTAAATGATGAGAACGCATAAACACAAAAAGGGAACAAGAAACACTGGGCCCTGTTTAAGAGTGGAGGGTGGGAAGAGGGAGAAGAGCAGAACTTTGGGTTACTTTGCTTAATACCTGGGCGATGAAATAATCCATACAGCAAACACTCATGGCAAGGGATTTACCTATATAACAAACCTGCATATGTTCACTTAAACTTGAAATAAAAGTTTTAAAAGGTAAAAATAAATAAACTGGGGAACATTTTTTAAAATTTCTCTTTTATTCTGTCTTCTTGGCCCCTCACTTGCAAATAGAGGTCCACATACACCAATGTTTAGTATCATCACAGATGGCTCCCCGAATAGCAACACTGAGGGAGGTAGGCATCAAGGACAACATCACAGAGTATATTTAATTTGGAGGGTTTCAGCAATAACTATAAAGACCAAAAGACCTTTGAGATGAGGAGGCTTTAGAATTTAGAAATGAGTTTCTTCTTTTGGAGCAATGTCCCATTAGCTGGGAGAAAATCATGAATTTGGATTGAGCAGGATGAAGAAAAATGTTGAATAGGTTTTAGAGGCAATTCAAAAATTGTTAGTTGAATGTTGGCCCTGAACTCTATGTCATCTCTTTGTATCTGAGATGCCACTCCTGGCCATCACGAACACAGAGTAGTAACTGAAATAAAGATGAATGTAACAAATGACCCATAGGAAGTGCACTGAGATGGTGAATATCATTCAAGGAAGGGCTGTCATTGTGTGTTTGCCTAGCAGGGCCCGCGTGTAAAATTTTGTCGAATATTCATATAAAATGGGCGCCAGGCAAATGGCAAATCGGTATGAAATCCAAGTCATTTTCTGCTCAGGAAGCCAGTGATTCCAGGATAGTTTAAATCCACTCAGAGCACAAATTAAACAATTCCCCCCAAAATGAATTACATGCTGGTGATAGGGTCTATAATTTATTAAAAAGAGAAGAGATCAAGCCTGTGACAGGGAAAGTGTAAGAAGGAGAGTGTACCCAATCAGATCACAAGATTTTCCAGTGAGAGGGGAGGAAAGCAGATTCATTTCATACTGGAAAGAAACAAGGAAAAGAGGCATTAAGACTGTCATTCACTGTGCATTGGCACCTCAAGGTATCTGGATGTTAGGTTAAAGGAGGGGTAACAGGAGAGGCATATCCTTGAGTGAGGTTGGAGTTGCAGAAATTGTTGCAATGAACATGGGGAGAAAAGATGAGAATGATCAAAATGATACCTGAGAAGGTCCTTGCAAACAAAGAGGCTATTTGGGGGACTCTCTTCAATCTGCCTTCATTGTTTTTGAGGTAATATATTGTTTCTCTTCTCCTAAGGGGTTCTCCATACATGCTATGAAGCAGATAATCACAGCTCTTGTTGTGGGAAAAGGGCTGTCATTCTGCCACCTTGGTAGGAACTCCAAAAAGCTTAGAATGAAGGGTGAGGACAAGGGCTACAGAGAAACATTCCCAGAGAAAATGAAAACTTTCAGCAATGATATGGATTAGTGACTGCTGCCTATTTCATTTTAACCCTCTAAAATAAGTGTGTTCTTTGTCTTTTCCCTCTCTCAACCTTCTTTGTTTGATTTCTATAAAGCAGATAATGTGTCCCTTTGGTGCACATGATGAAAGAGATTGCAAGCGATAATTTGTAGTCACCTCACAGACACCACATCCTGATTAGATAAGATACTGCACTTCACTCTGAGCCTTTTCCTGTAATTGAATTGCCCTCAGAGATTCCTTACAGGGTTAGTGTTTTTGGTATGTGGAAAGTATATAAGCCAGTTGTGACTGAATGGAACTGGTTGCCAAGGATGTCACCTCATGACTGCAGTCACAATAACCACAGTTTGTGGAGTCCTCTCCTTTTGATTGGGGCTATCTGTATGTCTCACCTTGATCAATGCAACACCATAGAAGTGACACTGTCTGCCATTCAAAGGTAGGTCCTAGGATGCCGTGCACCTTCTCCATGAGCCTTTTGGAAGGCTTTCTTTGGTGAAAGCCAATCACCATTCATTAAGTCCAAGAACCATGAGACTCTCATGATTTGAGGAAATTAAAGGCATGAATGGGGAGGTGAGGTAGTGAAGGAGCTAACCATCCTATTTCCAGGTGTTCACCCAGCCCTAGTGCTAAGTTGGACATGAGTAAAGCATCCTCTGAAATCCCAGCCTAAAAGATCCCTCAGAAAATGTGACTCACATCACATGGTCTACCACTCACGCGAGTTCAGTAAACTTGTAAAGCTGGGGGAGATCAAAATAAATGATTGCTTTTAGCCAATAGGTGTTGGGACATTTGCTATGCTGCAATTCGTCACTGGAAGGGCAGCAAAGCAGTCCGCTCACTCTGTTCATGTGCATGAGTTGTGTCTATTCCAATAATAATCTACATGTTCTGTGATCTAAAACCATGATCATTTATTTCTTTTTTTAAATATATATAAAATTGCGTTTTAGGTTTTGGGGTACAAGTGAAGAACATGCAGGACTGTTGCATAGGTACATGCATGGCAATGTGGTTTGCTGCCTTCCTCTCCATGTGACCATTTATTTCTAAACAGAAACTCCTGGATTCTTCCCACATAAAATGAAAAAATCTTTAGATATTTGCAAATAAGAATAATGGGGATTCTTTAAGGAAAATCACTGGGCTCCAGTGATTCTCTAATTATTTCTTGGATTGAAAACTTCACATGCAAAGCTTGTCATCTTTTCTTTCACTTCCTTCGCAGCAGCCCACACAAAGCCAGGCCTAGTGTGCATACACAGTGTTTATACATCCTGAGAACAATGGAAAAGATTAAGAAATTCCACATGATTTTCCTCAAGTTACAGTTTCTGCCTAAAGCCACCAGGTAAACCTACATGGCTGTAAATAGCTACCTAACATTTCAGTGCCCTCAGTCATCTGAGATTGAGTAAATATTTTGGTTAAAACTGTCTGATGTCAAATACATGCAATAGAAAGATGTTGTTCCTGATGTCTTCTCAGACATTCCAAGGACCTTGTCACTCACTCCCTTTGTCACAAGAAGATTCATCGCCTTTGATTTCATGATATCTCCCTTAGAATTCCCTGGTGCCTCTTGGGGATGACTACTTCCTCTTTCCCCCTCTTAAAGCAAGAACAAAATCATGTGAGGTTTGGTGCTGTTTTAATGACCAAGTGTAGGGGGAAGAGGTGAGGAGGGGTTATTTTGTCAGCAGGCTCTGGGAATTCCATGGTCATGTAGAAAGAGGGATTTCTTAACAATGAGGAGTGTGATTATCTTCCTCAATTGCAGACAAGCACTCTGGTCAGGGAGACGTCTCCCCACACTTCCACCATATTCACAAATAGTGGCAGGATTCGATGAAGAAAGTTGTAAATGTGTTGGCCATTTACCATTACCTATAGGAGGAAAAATGCATCAGAAAGACAGTATGCCACCAAACAAGTTTTCAGCCTCCTCTCCACTCTCCCTTAGTACCAATTATATTCCCCAAGAAAACTCCTAGTTATACAAGTGAGCCTAGTAGACACAATTCTGTTTGTAGATGAAGTTTTGTGCTCATTTAAGACAGTTACTCACTTTATTTCTAATGTTTTCTCTCATTTCTCTCATGAAGTTCTACACTGTGTCACACAGTCCCTGTTCACTCATCCTCCCTTCTGACCTGGAAGATCCCCATCATCAAGGAATGTGTCTCAGGAACTTGAGACCCTGCATCTCTCACAGGGCCTGTCGCAGGGTTACTGCTCAACCATGTTCATTGAACGCATACCTTTCAGTTACACGAACTGTGACTGCATTTCACTACTGATGGCAGTTTCTCTTTGGAGAAACTTACATCTGAGGTAATAGTGGCAAAGAATGGAACCCAGTGTTCTTAGAGAGTTAAAGGAGGACAGGTATAAAACACATAATATTGTCTTCAACAACTTTTTTTTTTTTTTAGAGGGAGTTTCACTCTTGTTGCTCAGGCTGGAATTCAATGGCACAATCTTGGCTCACTACAACTTCTGCCTCCCAGATTCAAGCAATTCTTCTGCCTCAGCCTCTTGAGTAGCTGGAATTACAGGTATGCGCCACCACGCCCATCTAATTTTGTATTTTTAGTAGAGAGGAGGTTTCTCCATGTTGGTCAGGCTGGTCTCAAACTACCAGCCTCAGGTGATCCACCTGCTTCGGCCTCCCAAAGTGCTGGGATTACAGGCATGAGCCATTGTGCCTGGCCATCATCAACAATTTCTAAGCATAGGGAAAGATTCCTCACTTGAATCTGAATAAAATGTGAATCTTTTGGCCTACACACTAGAGAAGGCCAGAAAGTATGGATATATTTTTTTTTATTTTGAGACCATAAAGTCTCCTTATCAGTATTAACTTATCAAATTTAAAATGCACACATTTTGAACCAGTTTTTCATTTTTAAAAAATTATCTACCAATATAAGCATAAGGAGGTTGGTAATTACAAAAGGATTGATCAGAAAGCTTAACACAACATCATTTGTGAGAGAAAAATACTGAAGACAACTTTAATGCCCCAAAAGGGGTCAAGTTCAATAATTTTGGGTGAACTTTTCAAAGCAATATCATGCAGTTTTTACAAACTGAAGCAGCACCATGGATTGATAATATCTTCAAGATACATTCTTTGACAACAAATCAACTTAGTTTCAAAAGCATAATATATAGAGTAACTTTTACCAGGATTTGCTTAAAAACAAAAAAAATCGTAGACATATCTATATGCTTCCATAGGAAAAGATTTCCTCTGAAGGGCTGGGAACAGTGGTTTATGCCTGTCATCCCAGTATTTTGGGAGGCCAAGGTGGGCAAATGAAACGAGGCTGAGAGTTCAAGACTGGCCTGGCCAACATGATGAAATCCTGTCTCTACTAAAAATACTTACTGTGGCATGCATCTGTAGTGGGAGGCTAAGGCAAGAGAATCGCTTGAATCTGGGTGGTGGTGGTTACAGTGAGCTGTGATCATGCCACTGCACTCCAACCTGGATAGGAAAGTGAGACTCTGTCTCAAAAAATAGGATAAAGTAAAATAAAAAGATTTTTTCTGAGGGAGAGCAGAGCTCTGATAATGTTGCTCTTATGAGTAGAATTGGGGCCAAAAAGTGAGACAAAGACATAATTTTTGAATGATTAAAATGACTTTTTTCTTAAGTATATTATATACAATCAGCTAAATGAAAATTTAAATAGTAGCATAAGTGGAAATGATCACTATAGGAAAAGACAGAGGAGATTTTCCACTTTGGGAGAAATGGCAGGTGAGCCAACCTTGACCTTGGTTAGATTTGGGAAAGAGCTGAGGATGGCAGTGCAAGCAGAGGGCGCTCTGTGATGAGGACCTGGAACAGGAGTAGTTATGAAAGTTGGGCCCCAAGAGACTGGTGGGGCCAGGTCAACAAGAGCTGCCTCCTGCTCTGGGAGCCCACAGAGGCTGGATGCTGAAAGTTCCTGGGATGCTCACCTTGTATTCATCGTAATGCATATAGATGCGCAGCTCAAATGATTTGCCATCCTCAAAGGGCACATTGTAGCATTTCTCCTCACACCTCCACATCCCAATCTCACGAGTGTTCATGACCACACAATCGCCAAAGTTCACTCGGAATTGGAAGGCAATATCTGAGTCCTCATTTGTCCCAGTGTAGAAATTCACCTCCAGCAGTGGGTCATTGCTGAGGGCAAAGCACACAGCAGGTTGGGCAGCTCCCTCCCTTGCGCAAACACACACTCAATACACACACAAATCCCTTCCCCCCTTTACCCAGGGCAAAAGTCTCCCTGATGATACTGCAGGCCTGGTCCCTGTGGGGATGCTTCAGCTCCTCATGCCCCCGGCAAGAAGATGCTGTGCTCCTCATCCCCAGATGAAAATTGAGCCAGTCACTGACCCGGGCCTGACTTGTTCATTCCCTGAAAATTCAATGGCCCTTGATGAAGAGCCACAGCCCCAACCCACTGAGTGTCCTCCTCCCCTAGGCCCCGTGGCTGGCCCACATGCAGTTGCTGCAGGTCTGATGCCGGGTGCTGGAGAGTCTCCAGGACCTGCACCTGCATGAAGCCTCCATCTTGCCAGCTAGACATTTCCACATCACTCACACATAACATCAAGCCCTTAGCAAATATTCTCCCTTCTCCACCCCCTCCATTGGACTGTGGAGTACTCACAGAAAAGAGAGTTTCGGTCTCCCTGTGATTATCACGCAGGAACCAATAGACAAGGACACAGGAAGTTTGTATGGCACCTGCCAGGGTATTTGAGAGTGAGTGAGAGGTGCAGGGTCAGGTGCAGCCTCCCCTCCTGTAACAGATTCCCACGATACAGGAAGTTAGAGATCAAAGGGGAGACTCTGAGGCCTCCCCCTTTCACCCTTCCACAGTCAGGGCCTCATATTCCTGAAGAGATGGTGGACCCATAGGTAAGAGCAAGAGTTCAGGAGCCAGGATGCCTGGATTCTGGTCCTCATTTTGCCTTATGCTAGCAGTGCCATCTTAGATCCACTGCTTGAACTCTCCATGCCTCAATTTCCCCAGCACAAGGAAGATTATCAGGAATTCCTACTTTATAGGATGTTCTCCGTAATAGAGGAGTTAATATATGTAAAACTTTTACCCTAATCCTTGGCATGTGTAGGGCCTGTTAGGGGTGAACTAACAGAACAGGGGAGTACTCCTGAAACACTGACCTGCCTTCATTTTCAACTCGGAAAATGAAATCAAGACTTGAGGATGTAAGAATTTAAAAATTCACTCCAGTAAAAAACAATGCTTGTTAAAAGAGAAAGGGAAATAGTGAAAGAACAGGAAACCCCTGTGTGAGGGATGCACATGCATCACAATCATCGAGGGCAATGGACGTCCTTCCCAGAAGGGGACACATTGCTGAGAGCACAGCCCCAGGACTTGCACAAATGAAGCCCGTGGGTCAGGGACATAACTGGAGGGAATCATTGATTTCTACGACGACTACAAGTGGTTGATGATTTTTCTGTATTTTTGACATAGGGTCTTGCTCTGTCGCCCAGGCTGACATGCAGTGGTGCAATCATAGCTCACTGAAACCACGAACTCCTGGCTGCGGTGATCCTCACACACCTGCTTCCTCTTGAGTAGCTGGGGTGAAAGGTGCCTGTCACTCTGCCAGTCTGATATTTAAAGTTTTTTTAAAGAAAGGGTCTCACTATGATGCCCAGAGTGGTCTCAAACTTCTGGCCTCAAGTTATCCTCCCATCTTTGCCTCCCAAATTGGTGGGATTATAGCCATGAGCCAGTGAATCCAGCTGCTTTGTTGATTAATATCCACTGTAAGCTCTGTCTGAACTAAGACTAAACCTGTTCCTTCATGGGTGGAAAAACAAATTTAGTCTCAGTTCACACAGAGCTTACAGTGGATATTTTGTGTGATTCAGTCTCTGAAACCACAGCCTCTAATGTCCTTCCCTAGCAAATCAGTATCTGCACACCCTCCTGCCCCAAGATGGGAAGAATAGGCTGGGCTGGGATAGGGAAGCTGAGCCTGGGAGGCACAAGCCAGTGATCACTGTGCAGTCCCCACCTGAGGAATCATCACCCCCTAGTCTGCATTCCTCTTCTCATTCTTACTGGGAAGAGACATCTACTGATCATACATTCCACTCTCATAAGTGATCTGTAATGAGTCCTCGATAACTCACGATCCCCAAGATCCCCACCAGTTAAGCCACCTGGGATCCACATTGACACAAATGAAAGGACACACAGCTGCCTTATCAGAGGTGCTGCTGTGTGGGGAAGAACCTTCACATGCACAGAAGGCCACATGCATGTCCCCAGTTCAATACCCAGTCACATCCCAGCAGACACACACCCACAGTCACACAGAGCCATGTCACTCACTGAGTCACACATAACTGCTCACTTTGCACATAAAGATGCTCATGCACTGGTCTGGCTGCACTCACACACACAAACTCACTTCACAGACAGGAAGACAAAGCACACTCACCCCCTTACACTCACGAAGACACCTGCCCCTCCTGGTGGGCCATCCACCTCCCACCTAAAGTCACATCATCTCAGCAGATTTCACTCTTATCAGACATTATCACATGCTCGCAGAGGGTTACACTGGTCCAGGGTCCACATCCCACACCCCACAAGCATCTCAGATACCACAGCCTCAGGGTTGCTCTTCCATACACCCACAGCTCTCAGTAAAGCATTAACAGAAGGAACGCTCCTATTTTCATCTCATAACAGCTCTCCTGTTTCTTTTTTGGTTTATGTGACTTGAGATTATTGAAGGCTGTGCCTTTTCAACTCACAGGTAGTGCTGACATTGTTGTCTTCTTCTGGGCGACTCTTTGAAATTCCGTCTGGTCTTCTGTGTGAATCTCTGAGTTGCAGCATTTAAATGATCCCTTTCAGCCCTGCCCTCTGGCTTCATTCCAGATTCCACGCTCCTCCAAGCAAGCTTTCCTTGAAGCATGAGAAAGTCTCACATGTCAGGAGGAAACTCAGTCACAACCATAGCTGTTTGCAGGTCTGTTTCTGTAATGAAGTAGAAATTAAGGTCCGGGAGGTATTAGGCTGTGGTTGGGTTACCAGGGAAATGCATACAGAAGGACGATGGAGTGAGGGGTAGTGATTGAAAATCACAGGCTTTGTGCCTCTCAGGCCTTTTCTCTACTATGCAGAATCTACCCAGAAGGTGTACATTTTCTCAATTTGTACAACAGTTAAAAACAAAAAGTTGGGAAATCTGCGGAGAGACGTTAGCCCTAAAAGGTAATTCTTCTCTTTGCCTTTTAAGATCCTGGGAGAGCACTGACCTTGATCCTCGGATCTGGGGAGAGAAGTAGAGAAAGTTCTTTCATGAACCTGCCCCACACTAGACCCCTTGGCTCTGCCAGGTGAAGGCTGCTCTCATCTGTCTGTCACACACCTGGGCTCTAAATAGACCCTCTCCTTTCTCTTGGAGTCCATGGAAATCAAAGTTTCAGAGATACTGTTTCTCCTGCAGATTCTAGGAGAAAGGTAAAATTTGTTTTTTTCTTCGGATTTTTAAAAAAATTACTATAGGTTCAGGGATACATATGCAGATAAACTCACATCATGGGGTTTGTGGTACACATGATTTTCTTCACCTGGGTACTATGCATAGTACTGAATAGTTATTTTTTCTGCTCCTATCCCATCTCTTATCCTCCACCCTCAAGTAGGCCCCAGTGTGTGTTGTTCCCTTCTTGGTGTCCATGAGTTTCATCATTTAGTTCACACTTATAAGTGAGAATATGCAGGATTTTGTTTTCTGCTCCTGCATTAGTTTGCTAAGAATAATTGACTCCAACTCCATCCACGTTCCTGCAAAAGACATAATCTCATTTTTTTAAGGACTGCATAGTATTCCATTGTGTACATATACCACATTTTCTGTCCCCAATCTGTCCTTGTTGGGCATTTGGGTTCATTCCGTGTCTTTGCTATTGTGCATAGTACTGCAATTAACATTCATGTGCGTAAGTCTTTACGGCAGAATGATTTCTATTCTTCCGGGTATACACTAAGTGATGGGATTGCTAGGTTGAATGGTAGTTCTGTTGTTAGCTCCTTGAGGAATCACCACACTGCATTCCACAATGGGTGAACTAATTTACACTGTCACCAACAATGTGTAAGTGCTCCCTTTTCTCCACAACCTTTCCAGCATCTGTTTTTTTTTATTTGTTTTTTTAATAAGAATCTTTCTGACAGGTGTGAGATGGTATCTCATTGTGGTTTCGATTTGCATTTCTCTAATGTTCAGTGATGTTGAGCTTTTTTTATATGTTTGCTGGCCACCTGTATGTCTTTTTGAAAAGTGTCTGTTCCTGGCTTTTACTCATCTTTTTTTGTTGTTGTTGTTTTAAGATAGGTCTCACTCTGACACTCAGGCTGGAGTGGTGTGGCACCATCTTGGCTCACTGCAATCTCTGGCTCCTGGGCTAAGGTGATCCTCCCAGCTCAGCCTTTTGTGTAGCTGGGACTGCAGGTGCATGTCACCATGGTAGGCTAATTTTCTATTTTTAGTAAAGACAGGTTTTTGCCATGTTACCCAGCCTGTTCTCAAATTCCTGGGCTCAAGCGATCCACCAGCCTTGGCTGCCCAAAGTGCTGGAATTACAGGCATAAGTCACGTGCCAAGCCCTTTGCCCACTGTTTTATGGGTTTGTTTGTTTCTTTCTTGTAAAGTTGTTGAAATTTCTTATAGATGCTGGATATTAAATCTTCTTCAGATAAATACTTTGAAAATATTTTCTCCCATTTTGTAGGCTGTTTACTCTGTTGATACTTTCCTTTGCTGTTCAGAAGCTCTTTACTTTAATTAGACCCCAATTTGTCAATTTTTGCCTTTGTTGTGATTTCCTTTGACATCTTCATTTCAAAATCTTTGCCCATGCCTATGTCCTGCATGGTATCACCTAGGTTGTCTTCCAGGGTTTTTATAGTTTGGGTTTTACATTGAAGACTTCAATCTATCTTGAGTTGATTTTTGTATATGGTGTAAAGAAGGAGTGTAGTTTCAATCTTCTGCATATGGCTATCCTGTTCTCCCAGCATCATTTCTTGAGTAGGGTGTTGTTTTTCCATTGCTTGTTTGGTCAGCTTTGTCGAAGATCAGATGGTTATAGGTGTGCAGCCTCCTTTCTGGGCTCTCCATTCTTTTCCATTGGTCTATGTGTCTGTTTTCATATTAATACCATGCTGTTTTGCTTACTGTAGCCTTGTAGTATAGTTTGAAGTTGAGTAATGCGATGCTTCCAGCTTCGTTAGTTTTGCTTAGAATTGTCTTGGTTATTTTGCTCTTTTTTTGTTCCATGTGAATTTTAAAATATTTTTTAAATGCTGTAAAGAATGTCATTCTGTCAAGAATAGTTTTTTTCTAATTCTGTGAAAATGCCTAGTTTGATAGGAATAGCATTGCAGCTGTAAATTTCTTTGGGCAGTATGGCTATTTTAATGATATTGATTTTTGTTATCCATGAGCATGGAATATTCTTCCATTGCTTCGTGTCATCTCTGGTTTCTTTGAGCAGTGTTTTGTCATTCTCATTGTAGGGATCTTTTACCTCCCTGGTTAACTTTATTTTTATGTATTTTATTCATTTTATGGCAATTGTGAATAAAATTGCATCCTGATTTGGCCCTATGCATTGCTGTTTTTGGCAAATAAGAGTTCTAGTGATTTTGCACATTGATTTTGTATTCTGAAACTTTGCTAAAGTTGTTTACCAGCTTAAGGGTCTTTTGGGTGGAGAGTATAGGGTTTTCTAGATATAGAATCATGACATCTGCAAACAGGGATAGTTTGACCTTGCTCTCTATGTGGATGCCCTTTCTTTCTTTCTCTTGCTGGATGATCTGGCCAGGACTTCCCATATTATGTTAAACTGGAGTGCTGACAGAGGTTACTGTGGAAATTGTGGTTTGAAAATCCAAGTTGAATTTCTGCTTCATTCATCATGGAGATTTTGACTATGATCTACCAAATACAATACAATACAAAACAAAACGAAACAAAACAAAACAAAACAACATTCCTCTCTTATTCTGTCACATCGGCCCCTCATTTGCAAACACAGGACTCAACGCACCAATGCTCAGCACCACGGACAGCGCCCCAGGGCAAACAGTTTTGAGGGACTTGGGTATCAAGGACAGTATTATCACAGAGTAGATTTATTCTGTAGGAGGCTTCAACAAAAACTGAAAAGCCTAAAAACCTTTGAGAATGAACGCTTTAGAGTCCAGAAATGACTTTCTGGGCTTTGAGCAATGCCATATTTGCTAAGAGAGGATCAGGAATTTGGGTTGAGGAGCATGAAAAGGAAGTTGAGTAGGTCCCCAGAGGCAATTCAAAATTTCCTTGTTGAACATTGACTCCTGAACTCTATGTCATTTCTTTGTATCTGAGATGTCATTTTGTCCACCATGAGCAAAGTAGTATCTGAGATTAAAATGTTGTAACAAATGGCCTATGTGAACTAAAATGAGCTGGTGAATATCAGTCAAGAAAGGGGAGTCACTGTGTGTGTTGCAAGGCCAGCATGTAAGAATCTATAGGTTATTCAAATAAAATGGGTATCACCTAGGGGCAAGCAGATATGAAACCAAACTCATGTTTTGCTTAGGAAGTCACGGGCCTCAAGATAGTCTTTATCCACTCAGAGCAAGAATTGCCTAATTCACCAAGAAATTATTTCCATGCTGGTGATGGGATCTATAATCCATTATCAAATAGAGAAGTGACCAAGGCTGTGACAGGGATGGTGTAAGGAGGAGAGTGTTCCTAATCAGAACCTGAGACTTTCCTGTGACTGGAGAGGGAATTTCAGCCCACACTGAAAAGAAACAACAGAGAAAGGCATGAAGAGTGTAATTCACTATGCATTGACACCTCCAGGTATCTAGATGTTAGGTTAAAGAAGCGGTACAGAGAGAAACATACCCACGAGTAAGGTTGGAGTCAAACAAGCTGTGACAATGAACATGAGTAAAGATGATGATGATTACCAAAATGATGCCTGAGATGAGCCCAGCAAAAAAAAAAAAGAGGCTATTTGATGAAACCCTCTTCAATCTGACTTTTAGGGAATATGTTGTTTACCTTCTCCTTAGTGATTCTCCATTTGTACTACGAAGCAGATAATCACAGCTCTTGTAGAGGAAAAAGCGCTGTTATTCTGCCATCTTGGTAAAAGCTTTAAGAAGCTAAAAATGGAAGATAAAGCCAATTGCTTCAGGAAAACATTACCAGATAAAATGAAAATAGGGTCTTGTTGGTTTTCTCCGAATATGGCCCATTACTGTGGTCTATTTTCTTTTCTGTACTTTGTTGAATTTTTAAATTTATGTACAAAGAGCTAACATGGTTTCTTTCATTGGGTGGATGCCTTGGTTATCCATTCAAGGGAGACATATCTTACTCCAACTTAATGAAACATATATTTTTAAGTACTTATGAAAATACTGGGGGCACATATTGAAGCAGTATTTCTGGAACAGATCATGCTGGTTTGAGCAGATAGGACAAGAGTGAGAATCCAGGCTGAATTTTCGTAAGTGGCTCTAGTAGAGACGCTGGCGACCCCTCTTGCTTCCCAGAGTGCAACAAGGCAAAAGGTGCCATTTATTATCTTTTGCCCTTCTAAAATAGGTGCATACACTGCACTTTCCTATGTCTACTTCAGTCTTGTATGTTTGATTTGTATAGGGCAAATAATGTATCCCTTTAGTGCATATGTTAAAAGAAAGTGCACCTGATAATTTGTAGTAACCTCATGCACACGTGATAGTAACTGAATGATAAGATGCTGGACTTCAAAATGAGCCTGTTCTTTTAATTGTATTGCCTTCAGTGGTTCCTTACGGGGTTCATATTTTTGGTATGTGGGAAGTGTGTAAGCCCATATACACACTTACACATGTAAGTTTGGAACTGAGTGAAAATAGTTTCCAAGGATGACCCGTTAGGACCACAAGTCAAAATAACCACGGCTTGTGCATTACTCTTCATTTGATATGGGCTGCCTGTGTCACTCACGTTGATCAATGTAATGTCTTAGAAGTGACACTGTCCACCTCTCAAAGCAGAGTGCTATAATGCCCTGCACCTTCTCCTTGAGCAGTTTGGAAAACTTTGGTTGGTGGAAGGCAACAACCATTCATTAAGTCCAAGAGCCATGAGACTCTCATGATTTGTGGAAAATCAAGGCATGAATGGAAAGGTGAGACAAGGAAGGAGATAACCAGCCAGCCCCCAGGTGTTCACTCAGTCCTAGTGTTGAGTAAGACACGAGTGAAGCATCCCCTGGAATGCCAGCCTACAGATCCTCGGGAAATGTGACTCCCACCACCCACATGAGTCCAGTAAACCAGAAAAGCTAAGAGAGATCAGAATAAATGGTTGCTTTCAGCCAATGTGTGTTGTGAGGTTTGCTGTGCTGCAATGCCTAAATGTAACAGCAGCAAAGCAAGGTCTCATCACTGTGTCTCTGTGTATGAAGTGTGTCTATTCCAAAAAAGAACTATATTATTTTCTGATCTAAAAACCATGATCACATGTTTCCAAAGAGAAATCCCAGAATTCTGTCCACACAAATTGGAAAAATCTTGCAAGTATTTAGAAACAAGAACAATCAAGATCATTGAATGGAAATCATTAAACTCCAGCGATTCTCTATTGCTTGGAGTGAAATTTTCACATGGGAAATTTGTCATTTTTTTTTTTGAGACAGAGTCTCACTTTGTCACCCAGGTTGGAGTGCAGTGGCATGATCTCAGCTCACTGCAACCTGTGCCTACTGGGTTCAGCAATACCCAAGCAATTCTCATGTCTCAACCTCCCAATTAGCTGGAATTACAGGTGCATGCCACCATACCGAGCTAATTTTTGTATTATTAGTAGAGACAGCATTGCCGTGCTGGGCAGGCTGGTCTCACACTCCTCACCTCAAGTGATCTGCCTGCCTCAGCCTCCCAAAGTTCTGGGATTACAGGCATGAGACACTGTGCCTGGCCAGAAATTTATCATCTTTTCCTAAAGCTCCTTTACAGCAGCCTGCACAGAGTGAGGGTGCAAACAATGGAAAGAATTAAGAAATTGCACCAGATTATCCTAAAGTTACAGTTTCTCCCCAAAGCCACCAGTTATACCTTTGTGGCTATAAACAGCTACCTAACATTTCAGTGCAGTGAGTCACCTCAGTTTGGGTAAAGGTTTTGGTTAAGCATCTGACGTCAACTACATACTATAGAAGGATGCCATTCCTAATTTCTCAGACATTCCAGGGACTTTGTCACTCACTCCTTGAGTCACAGGAAGGTTTTTCCTCTTTGATGTCTTAATGCTTCCCATACAGTGACTCAGGCCCTTTTTGGCTACTTCCTCTTTCCCCTCTTAAAGCAAGAACCGAATCCTGGGAGGTTTAGTGAACTTTTAATGACTGTATGGGAAGGAGTGAGGAGGAATTATTCTGTTAACAGGCTCTGAGAATCCCATGGTCATGCAGAAAGAGGGATTTCTCAACAGTGTGAAGTCTGGTTATCTCTTTCAATACAGATAATCACTGAGGTCATGGACACATCTTTCCATGTTTGGATCCTCTTCACAGATGTGGGCAGGAGTTGATGGGCAAATGTGTAACAGTGTTGGCCACTTCCCATTACATATAAGAGGGAAAATGCAGCAGAATGACAGCATGCCACCAAACAAGCTTTTAGCCTTCTCTCCACTCTGTCCTAGTACCTACAGTATCCCCTGAGAAAACTCCTAGTTATGCAACTAAACTCAGTAGACAAGCTTCTGCTGACAGACTACCTTTTGTGGCTATTTGAGACAGTTGCTCACTTTATTTCTAATGTTTCCTCTTATTCCTCCAGTGAGGCTCTACCACTCAGCGTTGCAAGGTCCCTGTTTGCTCAGCCTCCCCTCTAACCTAGAAGGTCAAGGCTCGGGATCATGTCAGTAAACTTGAATCCCTGCATCTTGTACAGAGCCTCTCACAGGGTTAGAGCTCAGCAATGTTCATTGAATCCATACATTTCAGTTCCATGAACTATGACTGCCATTCATTGCTGAGGTCCTACTCTTTCTTTGGAGAAGCCCAGATTTGGGTCATGGTGGCAAAGAACGAAATCCAAGCCCTCTTACAAAAATGAGACAGGTATTATAAAACATAGAATATTATCTTCAATGACTACTAAGCATATGAAAAGATCCATCACTTACATCTGAATAAAATGTGAATATTTTGGCCTACTCATTAGAGAATGCCAGAAAGTATGGATATATTCATTGCACTGAGGCTGTAGAGAAAGGCACCTTATTAGTGTTAATGTATCAAATTTAAAATGCATACATCTTTAAACCAGTTTTTTATTTCTTTGTAATTATCTTCCAATATAAGTATTGAGAGGTTGATAATGACAAAAAGATTGATTAGAAGTCTTAATACAGCATCATTTGTGAGAGAAAAATATTGGAAACAACCTAAATGCCCATCAAAGGATCTAATTCAATAATTTTGAGGCACCCTTCTAATGGAATATTATAAAATTTTTAACAACTGAGGAAGCACCAAATATTGACGATGTTTTCAAGATATATTTTTAAATTGGGGATTCTTGAAAAAGACGTTGGCTCTAGAAGGCAATTCTTCTTTGGCCTTTAAAGATTCAGGGACAGCACTGACCTTGATCCTCAGGGTGATCGGGGAGAGAGGTAGAGAAGGTCCTTGTATGAACCTGCCCCATGCTAGGCCCCTTGGCTCTACCAGGTGAGGGCTGCTCTCATCTGTCTGTCACACGCCTGGGCTCTACCTATCACCGCTCCTTTCTCTTGATGTCCATGTGAATCATAGTTTCAGAGACACTGTTTCTCCTGCAGATTCCAGGAGAAAAGTGGGATTGGTTTTTTCTTTGTTTTTTAAACTTTTATTTTAGGTTCAGGGGTATACGTGCAGGGAAACTCATGTCATGGGGGCTTGTGGTAAAGATTATTTCACCACAAACGTACTAAGCCTAGTACCCAACAGTTATTTTTTCTGCTTTTGTCCCAACCTTCACCCTCCACCCTCAAGTAGGCTCCAGAGTGTGTTGTTCTCCTCTTGGTTTCCTTGAGCTTCATCATTCAGCCCACAATTCCAAGTGGGAACATGCAGTATTTGTTTTTTTGCTTCCACATTGGTTCTCTAAGGATAATGGCCTCCAGCTCCACCCATGTTCCTGCAAAAGACATAATCTCATTCTTTTCTGAGGCTGCATAGTATTCTGTGGTATATATGTACCACATTTTCTCTATCCAGTTTGTCCTTCATGGGCATTTAGGTTGATTTCATGTCTTTTCTAATGTGCATAGTGTTGTATTAACCTTCACGTGCACATGATTTTATGGTAGAATGATTTATATTGTTTGGGGTATATACCCAGTGATGGGTAGCTGTGTTGAGTGACAGTTCTATGTTTAGCTGTTTGAGGAATCATCACACTGCTTTCCACTATGGTTAATTTACACTGCCACCAACAACGTGTAAGTGTTCCCTTTTTTTATAGAAGGTTGTCAGCATCTGTTATTTTTTTGCTTTTGGATACTAGACATTCTGACTGGTGAGAGATAGTATCTTATGGTTTTGATTTACATTTTTCTAACATTCAGGGACGTTGAGCTTCTTTTCAAATGTTTGTTGGCCATGTGTATGTCTTCTTTTGAAAAGTGTCTGACCCTGTCCTTTGTCTACTTTTTTTGAGACAGGGTTTCACTCCGATACCCAGGCTGAAGTGCAATGCCGAAATCTCGGCTCATTGCAACCTCTGCCTGGGCTCAGGAGGTCCTCCCAGCTCAGCCTCTTGAGTAGCTGACATTACAGGTGCCTGTGACAACACTCAGATAATTTTTCTGTTTTTCATAGAGACACGGTTTCTCTATGTTGCCTAGGCTGGTTTTGAACTTCTTAATTGAAGCAATTCACCTGCCTCAGCCATCCAAAATGCTGGAATTAGAGGTGTGAGCCACTGCACCCAGCCCTTTGCCCACTTTTTTATGGAGCTGTTTGTTCTTTCCTTGTAAAGTTGTTACAGTTCCTTACAGATGCTAGATATTAGACAATTTTGAGATACATAATTCGCAAATATTTTCTCTCATTCTGTAGGTTGTCTGTTGATAGGTTCTGTTGCCGTGCAGAAGTTCCTTAGTTTAAATAGGTCCATTTGTCAATATCTGCTCTTCTTGTGATTGCTTTTGGCATCTTTGTCATGAAACTTTTGCTAATTCCTACATTCAGAATGTTATTGCCTAAATAGCCTTCCAGGGCTTCTATAGTTTTGTATTATACATTTAAGTCCTTAACACATTTTAAGTTGATTTTTCTATATAATCCAAGAAAGGGGTTCAGGTTCAATCATCTGCATATGGCTAGCCAGTTATCCAGAAATCATCTCCTGAATAGGAAATAATTTTTCCATTGTTTGGTCAGCCTTGTTCAAGATCAGGTGGCTGTAGGTGTGGAAACTTACATCTTTGTTCTCTACTGTGTTCTATCGGTCTGTGTCTCTTTTTGTACAAGTGCTATGCTGTTTGGTTACTTGTGGCCCTGAAGTACAGTTTGAAGTTGGGTAATGTGATTCTTCCACTTTTGTTCTTATTACTTAGAACTGTCTTGGTTATTCAACTCACTCTTGGTTCCATGCGCATCTTAAAATGCATCTTTCTAATTCTGTAAAGAAAGTCAATGTTAGTTCAATAGGAATAGCGTTGAATCTGTACAGTTCTTTGGGCGGTGTGGCTGTTTTAATAATAATGATTTCTGCTAGCCATGAGCATGGAATGTTTTTCCATTTGTTTGGGTGATCTCTGTTTTTTTTTAAGCAGTGTTTCATCATTCTCATTGTAACAATCTTTCACCTCCCTGGTTAGCTATATTCTTAGGTATTTTATTCTTTTCATGGGAATTGAGAATGGAATTGCACTCCTGATTTGTCCTGATGCTCTTCTTGTCTTTGCCCCCACCCACAGGCCCCAGTGTGTATTGTTCCCCTCCCTGTGTCTATGAGTTCTCACTGTTCAACTCCCACTTACAGGTTAGAACATGCGGTATTTTGTTTTCTGTTTCTATGTTAGTTTGCTAAGGATGATGGCTTTCAGCTTCATCCGTGTCCCTGCAAAGGACATGATCTCATTCCTTTTTATGGCTGCATTTTTTCAGCTCCATGATTATCATTTGATCCTTTTAATCATTTCAACCTTTTTGTTAAACTTATCTAATAAAATTGTGATTCCTTCTCTGCGTTGTTTTGAATTTCCTTGAGTTTACTTAACACCACTAAATTGAATTTTCTGTCTGAAAGGTCACATACCTCTGTTTCTCCCTAGTGCCTATTTAGTTTGAGGATATCATGCTTTCCTGGATGCTGTTGACACTAGCAGATGTTCTTCAGTGTCTGAGCATTGAGTCATAGGGTATTTATTGCGGTGTTCACTGTCTAGGCTTATTTGTGCCTGTCCTTTTTTCGAAGGCTTTCCAGATATTCTAAAGAACTTGAGTGTTTTGATCTAAGCTGTATCTGCTTTAGGACAAACTCAAACCCAATAATGTTGTGATTCTTGCAGACTCCTACAGTGGCCACCTTGATGGTCATGGACAAGATCCAAGAGAATTCTCTGGATCACAATGCAGTGACTTTTGTTCTTTTACCTTTCTTTCTCCCAAAGAAACAGAGTCTCTCTCTCTCTCTCTCTCTCTCTCTCTCTCTTTCTGTGTGTGTGTGTATGTTGAGACACCTAAATCTGAGAATGGAGTTATACAAGCACCGTTGTGACCACCACCACTATGACTGAGTGAAATCTGAAGCCAGTACAGCACTGGGTCTCACTGAAGGCCTTCCGTAGCCACTCCCTGGTTGTAACCTAGGTTCATTCAAGGCCCTGAGAAGCAGCAGATGGCAGAGCAAGCCAGGTCTGTGGGCTTCCCTTCAGGGTGGTGAGTTTCCCCAGGCCTGAGGTGAATCCAGAGGTGCCACCTGAAAGTCAGAGACTAAAGTAAAAAACCTTAGAAGTCAGTATGGCGTTTTACTGTACTGCAGCTAAGCTGGCACTCAAACCACAAGATGCAGTTCTTCCCACTCTTTTCTCCTCTTTCCAAAGGCAGCTGGCCACCCCATAACCATCGCCACAATGGAGAGTGCTGCCAGACTGTCACAGATGTTCCCTTAAGGTCCACAGGCTCTTAAGTCAACTCATGGTGAATGCTGCCTGGCATGGGACTCACCCCACAGGGCCGTGAACTCTCATCTGGCCCAGAGCAGGTTAATAGGTATCATCCAAGAACCAAGTCCTGGAATTAGGGAAGCCAAGAGCCTGCCTGGTGCTCTACTCCTTTGTGGCCATGCTGGTACCTAAGGTGCAGCACAGAGTCCCTTTTCCTCTTTTCTCTGCTTTTACCAAGCAGAAAAAGGTTTGCCTCATAGCCACCACAGCTGGTAATGTGCTGAGTCCCACTGGAAGCCAGCAGATCTTGGAGACTCATCAAAGGCCCTCAGCATAGTACCTGGGTATTGCTGGTAGCTACTCAGAGCCAAAGGGCTCTTCATTAGCAGGTGATAAATGCTTTCAGGAACGGGTCCTTCCCTTTAAGGCAGCAGGTTCCCTTCTGGTCCAGGCTGTGTCTAGAAAGGTCATCTGGGAGCTAGGGCCTGGAAAGGGGGCCTCATGACTCTTACGGCATTCTATCCTGCTGTTGCTAAGCTAATATCCAAGATGCAGACAAAGTCCTCCCCACTCTTCTCTATCCTCTCCTCTTCTCAAGTGAAAGGAAGGGGTCTCTTTTAGAGCCACAGACTATGCATCCTGGAGTTAAGAAAAGGGTAAAGCCAGGATTCCATTAATCACCCAAGCTGCTGTCTCAGTAGGTTACCTAGCCCCCTCTTCCCCAGTTCACTGTCTCTGGCCCAGTTCAGCACCAGGACTCCCCTAAGATTTCCTGCCCTTATGGCCTAGACTGCCTTTCAAGGTTACTTGGAAACCCAGAGCACTGCAGCCCTTACTGGCAAGGTTTGCAGGAACTGATGTTTCAACTTCTGGGATCAGGTATATTCCTCTGGCTAAGGCTGACTTAAATGTTCCTCTGTTGGTATGTGTCAGCTGAGTTTGATCTAATTTTCCTTTATTCTCTAACAGGACAGAAATGACTTCAATGCCTCACAATGGCTGAGCTCTTCTCTCCCACCCCCCAGTACCCAGAGACTCTGCACCACACCACTGCTGCCTGGATGGAGAAGAAGTGGTGTTGGCAATTCAAGACTGTTCCTTGTATCTCTTCAGTGCCTCTTTCAGTGATACAGAGTTAAAACTGGGTATTTATGAGGACACTCCTGGTTTTTGGTTTTTATGGAGGTGTTTTCTTGTATATATATCTGTTAGATTTATTTCCTTGAGAAGTGGGGATAAGATTTGTGGAGTCTTCCATTCTGCCATCTTGCAAGGCCTCCCCAAAGTTTTAAATTTTGATGAAATCCAGTTTAGCTGTCTTTTTCTTATGCTTCTTGTGGTTTTGGTGTCATATCCAAGAAATCATTTTAAGATCCCATGTCATGAAATATTATTCTATGTTTTCTTCTAAGATATTAAATTTACAGGCCTTATATTTATTGTTTGATACATTTTGAGTTAATTTTTGTGTGTGGCTATGGTAAGGGCCCACTACATCCTTGTGCTTGTGAAATCCAGTTTCCCCAAAATCATTGGTTGAAATGACTGTCCTTTCCTGAAAGGGTGTCCTGGCATGTTTGTTGACTCTCAAGTGACCACCTATGTATATGTCTACTTTCTGGCTCTCCTTTACACTTGATTGATTTCTATGTCTGTCCTTAAGCCAGCACCACACTGTTTTGATTACTGTAGTTTTAAAGTGGTTATCCTTGGGACACAATAAAAACAGACACTTGCAAAGTCACTTTTAGACATTACACATCTTGGATTTGTCTTTGTTATTTTTTTCAGGAGTTAGTAAATACTATCCCTCATCATTATGCCAATATCTTGAGAAGTAAAGACACATGCCTTAATCAGCTGTGCTGGGGAAGAGGTCACCATGAGATGGAAGACACTTCTCAGTGTCCAGGAAACACTTCTTGGTCTCTTTCTTCCCATGGCATGACTCCCATCTCAACTCATACTTTCCATATTACGCTTTCTGCTGTCACCAACACAGAGCCATTGAGTGAGGCTTAAATTCTATTTTCCATTCCCACTAGTTCACTAGCCTCAAAACATTCAAATGCTGAACTGAAGGTGAGTGCCTG